TGTTCGGTAAATCATCATTATTATTCATTCAAAATATTTCCCCGACTCTGATTGGCTAATCACCATAACCAGTTACTGATGACCAAATTTGGAAACATTTTGTGTTTAGCGAGGAAATGACATCAAAAATGCAGCGTTCTTGCAGGTTAATGCACCGTTAACCGAGAAGACCTCGGGACGAGGTTGAGTTGTTTTGGTGGTGAGCTTGAAAAATGGCGGACATTTCACTGGTTTCAAGAGTAAGAACTAGGCAAAAAAATTGCTAAAAACATGGAAAGAATACCAAGAAGACAACTCGAAGGGCGACATCTGCTATTTCGAGAATATTTGCGGAGCTGAACAACCTTAAACATGCACTATGAAAGATGAACTTAACATCGATGGATCGATAGAGATAAGCATGTTTTAGCCATGTTTTTAACCTACAGAAATTATTTTGAATGAATAATAACGAAACAATTATTGAATTCGGCTTTCGTATCATATGAAGAATTATGGCGACGGATAACAGCCTCCTCGATCTCCATAATTCTTCATAAGATACTCAGCCTCATTCATTAATTCTTAAATATATGGCAAAGACATCAGGGATCCAAGAATGGATCCCTGGGGTACTCCACAAGTGATTGAGAGAGAATCAGATTTATGGCCATTTATGCCACGTTACCACTAATGGCATTCATAGCATAACTTTGAATTTGCAAATATATTATCAATGAGGGTTGCTGATCTTTCAGTAATACGTGTTGGTTGTAAGATATAAGGTAGAAGAAAAAAGAGTTTAACATTAGTAAGAAATCATTAGATTCAGGATGACTCAGGCTAATATTAAAATCACCCATAATGAAGATGGACTTATTTTCACTAGTTAGCTGAGGTAAAGTTGACTCGGAATGTTCTTTGAACCTTACAGGGCTAAAGGAATTAGTGTCTATAGGCACAGCAACATAAAATATTTTTAGCTTTAGCATTAACTATTTCAACCCAGATAGTTTCAAATTCATCATCAGTTGTACTTAGGTTAGTTCACTTAAGAGCATTTAAAGTATGTCTAGTGTAAATTGCCACACCACTAGCAGCAGGTCTGGAGGTTTGACCACCAGCAGCAGGTCTGGGAACTCTGAATTCAGTGGTTGAGGATGAACGAAAAAAAGAGAGTGATATTGTGATGTTGTTATAAAAAACTAAAATTCAGCTGGTAGCAGTATTTTAAAAAATTATTCATCTATCACTGTATATTAAAAAAGCTCTTTTAACGTGTAAAACTTAAATTCCACAGTTTTGGTTTTTCAATACAACAAGCTCCACCACTGACAGCATAGAAACAGAATTTACTGTCGGATTGAGACTGCACTCCTGTGTAAGGCACCGAGGCCTACGTACAGAATCAATTTATAAAAAGGACTCCTACCCATTGGCACTGAGAAGATCAGGAACATGAGTAAAGCCAAATACTGCAAATAAGACTGTTGGATCTCTAGTTCGTCGTTCGTCAACTCTTCTCTGAAGCACTTACCAGTTATCAAATTAAACAAGACAATTTCAGTCAAAGTGATCTTGAATGTTACTGGTTAAAACACAGGCCAACTCCCACTGCTAACATTTGTAACGCTAGGTTCGACTCCTAACAAGGTATTGATCACGCCTCTCTTATTACCACATACTTTACAAATTTGAAGTAGATATTGAGATTTGGTGTTTCTGAGTACCAAAAAATTCTTATCAATATTGAATCACAAAATAACAGTTTGCTTTCGTTTGTTCGCCCATATTGTTACAAATATCACCGCAGGAGTGATGTCTCACGAGCTTATTGGTCGAGAGCTATGGTCTGTAAGAGCATAAACCACGGAATGACTTTCTGATCTTGCAAGTTGTTTTTCTCTTTTCTGAGCGCAATTTTCCAAGAAACCGTTCGCCAAAATTTGGTGTGCGACAAACGCAGACTGCAAACTTGCAGACCGCAGACCTGCAGACTTGCAGACAAACAGACTTGCAGACTTGCGGACTTGCAGACACGTTCGGAACTCACAGGGAGGGGGGGGTATAATTGCCCCCGCAGGGATTTCGCCCAGAGGGCGAAATACCGAGGAGGCACTCTAGTAACTCGCGCGTATATAAAGGAAAGTACTTACAGTTGAAATATACAGTCAGTATGCCAGAAAAAATCTCGATTTGCTTGAACAGGGGCCGCGAGGAATCGGTAGGTAATGATGAAGTGATGAAGACAGAAAATTCCGAAGGAACCGCTTAGGTAGATTTTGTGACATTTATTGCGCAGTCATACTTCGATACTCTTTTGCGTTACGTGTTATCAGTGACATTCTGTGGAGCAGTTGTTTCAGTGAAAGTTATGGACCAAAAGACACTCGTTAAGCGCAGATGAAGTTATAAGGTGCGTACAACCGTGTATATATAAACACTTAGAGAGTTTGCCAGACACGAGTTCACAAATCTTTGATTGGAAACCTTGCCAGACACTCTTTCTCTCCCTTTGACCGGAAAAAGACTCAGCCCCAAACAAGCAAGACGAGTGAACAACGGCTAGCTTATCACTAGCAAACGATGGATGATTACAGAAATTCGCCGACAATAAAATTCTGTGCTGACTTATTCCCTGCTCACAGATGTCCTTCCGCTATAAAGCCGCTCGATGATCCCACCCGTCTTCTTCTTCGCTGCTCTCGCTGAAGTTTAGGTCACCGTTCTTCCGATGTTAAGTCTTCCACGGCAAGGATTTCCAGTCACCTGTCGAATCGGGCACTGTTGTGTTTGCAGCCCGTTAGCACTGTTGTTTGCCTCATATATACTTTGCCATTCGCCACCAGTAAACAGAGCAAAGCCCTGTCACAAAAATGTAGGTCTGCAAATCTTTGAGTCTGCAAGTCTGCTAGTCTGCAAGTCTGCAGTCTGCGTTTGTCGCACACCGGCCAAAATTGGACTCAACAGCACAGGGAATTTAGATCGGTAAATGTAGGTGGGTGCATTCATCTATAAAGGCAAATGCATGAGCACTGAGACAAATCCCGTATTTAGTCCAAAGTTCGCTTCTCTCGTACAGGGGCCGCAGTTTGGAGAAAAATGCGTATTAACATGGACCGCCACGGGCATTAATGCAGTGGTCAATTACTTTTTGTCATTGTTGATGCTGATGTGGATGATTAGAATGGGACGTGAACCAGCAAAACTAACTTTTGCTACTTCTTTGATACAGGCTGTTTGTTTTTCTAAACAAAGCAAAAACAAAGATAAGTCCTTAGAGGATCTAAGGCTTGCGTGAACATGAAATCCTATTGGAGGATCCTGAGTGCCAAGCCCCATCGTTCAACCCGGCAATAGTCAATGACTAATCAACTGATCACGTATCGATTACCTATCGATTAATTATTGATTTCTTTGATGTTATCGATTATGTCTGATGCTAAAAGGGTTTGCTGGTGGCAACCAGAGTCAAAGCCGAGTGTGACGGTCAGAAAACTACTTTTATTCGTCGCGAATAACGGTTGATTTTAATTATTTTTCCGCTTAATTATGCTTCAGCTTCAACAAACAAATGATCATTTGAACTCACGCTTCGCTCAGAATAATGAAATGCTCTTTTAAATGATAAGTTCTGCCATCTTCAGACGGTTTGGCTTGTGCGCCCCGCTCAATTACAGCAGAACGACAACATGAAGCCGGCAGTGAAGGTGGCAATCAAAAGAATCCCGGCATTCACAGCAGGACCGGAGGCTCCACTGCGGTAATCAGAAGAACAGCAACTAATTTCACACTTGACGTTAGGTATGCGGCAGCCTTCTGATGGCAAGCAGGTCTTAGCGCATCCTTTACCTTATGCCATACGACCAGTTGTTGTGTAAAGTCTTATTTTGATACACTTCGTTGCCAGTTGAGGTCGACCTACAATTTACTCTCCTTCGGTTGCCGTCACAGTCTTGAAAAAGAGTGCGTGCTAAGACAATGCCAAGGTGAAGACATTAACATTAACGGGAAGTCACTGTAACGAGAAGGAAGAGCAGGTTCCCAACGCAATTAGTAAATTATGAAAGAGACTGATCATTGATATCGGAAAATAAAGTGTGCGCCGAGTTATCTTCTTCTAGCTCATTGAAATCTACCCGGAAACAAAGAAAGAAGTGACAATTTTCGTTATCACAATAACGAGAACTTAGTTCTTGGGTGTGGAGAGAAAATAACTATTGATAGTAAGATAATCAGCTTTAAACCGGAAATAAAAAGATTGGTTAAAACTTACTATAACTAACATACGGATGTAGCGCCACAGTTTCTTTAGAAAATGACCCCTTTAAGAATGCCGAGTCGAACATTTCATTCGAAACTGGTCATGTGCGAGTGCGTCAACATTTACTTCCTAGAAAACTGACTCAAGTTTAATCGTACTTGCGCTAAGAAAGCTGCAGAGACATCTGGAGTCGCCCATTAAAATTGAAGAAAGGTGATCGAACATTAATAACAACAAATTTCATTATTAAAAGAAATGAAAGCAGTTAACACAGCAAACAAATGCATGCAAAATAAATTGTTTCTGTGAAATCCTTGCGCGCACCCGGAATTACTCTGTGCAAACGACATCAACAAGTAGCTTTCTTTTTAGTAGTATAGGAAATGCTGCCATCCCACTCACCTCAATTTTTTTCTACCTCATCTCACAATGTCGCTCTCTTGTTCACTCATTTCGCAAAACTCATTCGTTTTCGTTCACTTCGTTCAATTCGTTCGCTTCGCTCACTCATTTCACTCAGTTCACTCAACTCACTCGTATTGCTCCATTCGTTCACAAGAATCGCTCCATTGCTCGAAGAGGTAGAAAAAAAGTGAGGTTAGTGGGATGGCAGCATTTCCTATACTACACTAAAATATACTTTACTATAAAATAGATACTAATTTTAGAAGCAGAAAATATAAAATTGATTTAAAGAAATAATATAAACTTATTATAAGAAGCCATGACAAATAAGTTAGATAAACAACTTCAGAATATGTCTTTAGATAAAATAAAACAATTAGTAGCGAAAGAAAAAGAAGGACTTAGGAAAGATTATAAGGAATTAGAAGAAAAGAGAAAATTAATTAAAAAATATAAAAAATTGAAAGAATTTAGAAAAAAAGTTAAACAAGGAAAAGTTATAAAAAAGAAACCCCCCATCGTTTTGACGACCCCTTCCAAAAAGATAAAAACATTTGAAGATTATTTTGAGGAATGTATAAAAAATAAAAAGATTCCTAAAGATACTCCTTCTTATTTACGAAAAGCTCTTGAGAGAGCTATAAATGAATATGACCAAGGAATTGAAATAGAGAAATCAGCTTTAGATGAATTTGCTAAAAAATATATTATCAAGGGAGAATCTGGTATTACTCCTTTTCAGTTCTTTAGAAATAAAAAACATATTCTTAAAGATTTTTTTAGAAATCATAGAAATATCAAAGTAAGGTTTGTTTTAGTTTGTATGATGGAAAAAAAGGAAGGTGATTATAAATTAAGTTTTAAAGTTCAGGATAAAGCATATTTTCATTCTAATACATATATTAATTTTAAAACAAGTGATGTAAAAGAATTACTTAGTAAAATTATTAGAGAAATTATTGAAAAGATAACTTTATATCAACAAAATGGTAGTGGGTGGTATTTTAAAGAAGTTGTTCAACTAGAAATTCATACCACTGAATTTAACCCAATGAAAGGTTCTTCTTATATTCCTCTTCCAGATTGGATTATGAGAAAAAAAGCAATTGTTAGTATTCGAAATAAAGATGAGAAATGTTTTCTTTGGTCAGTACTTCGTTATCTTCATCCAAGAGAAAAGAATGATTGTCGTTTGAAAGATTTAGAAAAGTATGAATTTTCACTTAACACTAAAGGAATTACTTTTCCAATGAAAGTAAAAGATATTACCAAATTTGAAAGTCTTAATCCAGATCTTCCCGGAATAAATGTTTTTTCTGTAGATGATAAAAAAACTATTTATCCTTTGAGAGAGGTAAAGAAAGATTGTAAAAATACTATTGATTTATTTTTGTATGAAGAAGATGGTAAATTTCATTATTCACTAATTAAAAACTTTTCTCGCCTTATACGTAGCCAAATTACTACAAGAACAGATGAACCAATCCAAATTTGTAAGAGATGTTTTAGTCATTTTACAAAGGAAGAATTATTAGATAAACATATTAAATATTGTAGTAACAATGCAACAGCGATTGTAAAAATGCCTGAACCAAACACAATGCTATATTTTAAAAATTATTACAAAAAACTTCCTATTCCTTTTGTAGTTTATGCAGATTTTGAATGCTTTACTAAACCAATAAATAGTTGCAGTCCTAATCCAAAAGACTCTTATAATTACAACTATCAAAAACATGAACCATCAGGATTTTGTTTTTATGTAAAGGGAATTGTTGATAAAAAAGTATTTGTAGAAAAACTTACGGAAGTAACTAAAGGAATTTATAACGATTTTTATCAAAAACCAAAACCTCTTAGACTAACACAGGAAGAACAAAAATTATTTGAGAAAGCAGTTAACTGTCACATTTGTAGACGGGAATTAAAAAAAGATAAAGTTAGAGATCATTGCCACTTTACAGGCCAGTATCGTGGAGCAGCACATAACAAATGTAATCTTATGTGTCGTAAACCAAAAGTATTACCAGTTATATTTCATAATCTTCAAGGTTATGATGCTCATCTGTTTATAAAACAAATTGCTAGATTAGAAGGAGATTTAAACTGTATTCCATCTACGGAAGAAAAATATATTTCTTTTTCAAAAAGTATTAAAGTTGGTGAGTATTATTGCTTAAAACTTGGGAAAATGTGTCCAATAAATTTTGAAATACGATTTTTAGATTCATTCAAGTTTCTTCAAACATCACTTGCCAATCTTGTTTCAAATTTATCAAAAGAAGATTTTCATAATACAAAACATATATTCAAGAAAAATGTAGATCTACTAACTCGTAAGGGAGTTTATCCTTATGATTATGTTTCATCACTTGATAAATTATCAGAAACACAACTTCCACCAAAAGAGGAATTTTACTCCCAACTTTATGATGAAGATATAAGTGATGAGGATTACCAACATGCAATAAATGTGTGGAATACTTTTAATTGTAAAACAATAAGAGATTATCATAATCTTTACCTAAAATCTGATGTATTATTGTTAGCAGATGTATTTGAAAACTTTAGGAAAACTTGTCTTCACCATTACAAACTTGACCCAGTTCACTATTACACATCTCCAGGTCTAGCTTGGGATGCATGTCTAAAAGAAACAGGTCAGCATTTACAGTTATTACATGATTATGATATGTTAATGATGTTTGAGCGTGGTATACGTGGTGGAATAACACACATATCAAAAAGATATGCGGAAGCGAATAACAAATATATGAAAGATTACAATCTTGATAAGGAGTCTACTTATATTCAATATTTAGATGCAAACAATCTTTATGGATGGGCGATGTCTCAAAATCTTCCAACACATGGATTTAAATGGATGAAAAATATAACAAAAGAAAAGGTATATGAAATTCTAGAGAAAGCAAATCATAATATGTCAAATTTTGGGAAAAAAGGTTATATATTTGAAGTTGATTTAGAGTATCCTCCTCATCTATGGGAAACACATAATAACTATCCTCTTGCACCTGAGAAGATGATTGTTAATGGTGTTGAAAAACTAATTTGTCATTTTAAACCCCGAAAAAATTATGTTGTACATTATCGAAATCTTAGACAGTATCTTGAGTTGGGTATGAGGCTTACTGCTGTTCATAGAGGAATATCATTTTACCAATCTTCTTGGATGGAGCCATATATAAGAAAAAATACAGAACTTCGAAAAAAAACAGCTAACAGTTTTGAGAAAGACTTTTTCAAACTAATGAACAATTCAGTTTTTGGTAAAACAATTGAAAACATAAGGAAGAGACAAAATATAGAACTTATTGATGATCGTAAAAAAGCTGTCAATCTATCAAGTAAACCCAACTTTGATAGAGTAACAATATTTGATAAAAATCTTATAGCGGTACATATGAAGCGTACAGAAGTGTATTTTAACAAACCAGTGTATGTTGGTCAGGCAATTCTAGATTTATCAAAAACACTAATGTTCAATTTTCATTATAACTATATTAAAGAGAAATATGGAAACAATGCAGAATTATTGTTTACNAGAGATTATCATAATCTTTACCTAAAATCTGATGTATTATTGTTAGCAGATGTATTTGAAAACTTTAGGAAAACTTGTCTTCACCATTACAAACTTGACCCAGTTCACTATTACACATCTCCAGGTCTAGCTTGGGATGCATGTCTAAAAGAAACAGGTCAGCATTTACAGTTATTACATGATTATGATATGTTAATGATGTTTGAGCGTGGTATACGTGGTGGAATAACACACATATCAAAAAGATATGCGGAAGCGAATAACAAATATATGAAAGATTACAATCTTGATAAGGAGTCTACTTATATTCAATATTTAGATGCAAACAATCTTTATGGATGGGCGATGTCTCAAAATCTTCCAACACATGGATTTAAATGGATGAAAAATATAACAAAAGAAAAGGTATATGAAATTCTAGAGAAAGCAAATCATAATATGTCAAATTTTGGGAAAAAAGGTTATATATTTGAAGTTGATTTAGAGTATCCTCCTCATCTATGGGAAACACATAATAACTATCCTCTTGCACCTGAGAAGATGATTGTTAATGGTGTTGAAAAACTAATTTGTCATTTTAAACCCCGAAAAAATTATGTTGTACATTATCGAAATCTTAGACAGTATCTTGAGTTGGGTATGAGGCTTACTGCTGTTCATAGAGGAATATCATTTTACCAATCTTCTTGGATGGAGCCATATATAAGAAAAAATACAGAACTTCGAAAAAAAACAGCTAACAGTTTTGAGAAAGACTTTTTCAAACTAATGAACAATTCAGTTTTTGGTAAAACAATTGAAAACATAAGGAAGAGACAAAATATAGAACTTATTGATGATCGTAAAAAAGCTGTCAATCTATCAAGTAAACCCAACTTTGATAGAGTAACAATATTTGATAAAAATCTTATAGCGGTACATATGAAGCGTACAGAAGTGTATTTTAACAAACCAGTGTATGTTGGTCAGGCAATTCTAGATTTATCAAAAACACTAATGTTCAATTTTCATTATAACTATATTAAAGAGAAATATGGAAACAATGCAGAATTATTGTTTACAGATACGGATTCATTTATGTACCAAATTAAAACAAAAGATTTTTATGAAGATATAAGTCATGATATTTTAACCAAGTTTGATACTTCAGATTATCCTTCAAATCATAAATCTGGTATACTAACAGGAGCTAATAAAAAAGTTATTGGAATGTTTAAAGATGAAGTTGCAGGAAAACAGATAACACATTTTGTTGGATTGCGACCCAAACTTTATAGTTTTAAAATTGAAGAGGAAAGGGAAGTAAGAAAATGTAAAGGAATAAAGAAAAATGTTGTTAAAAAGAAAATAGATTTTGATGACTATGTTAAATGTTTATTTTCAGGTGAAAAAGAAATGAGATCTATGAAGATAATAAGAAGTGAAAAACATGATATATATTCAAAGGAAGTAAATAAAGTAGCGTTAAGTAATGAAGATGATAAAAGAAAGGTCCTTAAAGATAATATTCATACTTTGGCTCTTAGATAAAAAATATTTAAAAGTAAATAAAGTATAAATAATAAATGTCATATACAGAAGAAGAAATAAAAAAATATCTGGGTATTCTACATAAATATAAAGTTGAGAGTAAAAGGGTAAAAAGGGGCTGTTTAAATTGCTCAAATAATGAATTTTTTACAATAGATTCTGGTTACAAAATTTGTGATGAATGTGGAACAGTAAACGGGTCATGTATTAGGATTATTTGATGTAAAAGATTTGGATAGATTACATTATAGAAAAAAGAGTATTTATCATAGGAAATACCACTATGATAAAAAGGTAAATGAAATTTCTAAAAGAATAAACCTTACTGGTGAGCAGCAATACGAATTATATAGTAAAATAATGGAAATAGATAATCATGTCATGGAAATATTAAACAAACAATTTTGTCGTAAAAGAATGATAAGTATTTTTTATTTAATTAAAAAAATTTTGGAGGAAATGGGTTGTGAGCAGAGCAGTCTAGTTTATCTAAAGATTAGCCCCCAAACTATGGAGAATGATGAAAAGTGGTGGGATAGTTATAAAAGATTAAAGAAATAATTTTATATTTTTTAAAAATATAAAATTTAAAGATAATAATTAAATAAATAAAATGGCTTCTAATCCTAGTCAAATTTACTCAATAATATTTCAAAAAGAATATTATCCATGTAACAGATTTGAAATAGGAAACAATATTAATAAAAAGGTATATATTTGTCACAGTGATAAACTATTAAAAGAATTTTTAGTATCTTGTAAAGAAGATAAATCTAATTTAGTATATGATTATTTTAATTCTTATCCAGCTCCTAGAGTAATAGTACATGGTAATTTTTATGATAGGTCATGTAGATTTCATTATAAAGAACCTAAAGTAGATGATAATAGATATAATCTTAATTCAGAAGAAATGGATAAAAAAGTAAAAGAAATAGCTAGAAGATATTTAAATGATGGTTATGGATCAATTAATATACTAAGTTTAGTTGGAAAATAATTTTATATTTTATATTTTTAAAAATATAAAAATTAATCTTTTAGATAAGTATAACCACTTTCAAATACTCTAAAAATATCTAAAAATGATTCTTTTTTAAAATCCAAATCACCATCAATTTCCTCCATATCTAAATTTAAATTAATAAGAGTTTGATATATTCCACTTGTATCAATACCATCATCTTTCATTGCTTCATCCACAAGTTTAGAAGTGTATTCAAATTCTTTTTTATTAAAAAAACTTTCTAAAAATGGTTTATGTAATTCATTTTTTTCACCTTTTTTGTTTGAATAAATAATATGATTACAAACAAGATTATTAAGGAATTTTGGTTGTTCTATTTTCATTTCTTCAAAATTATTGAGTATATACTCATTATTTAAAAAATCAAATATTTCTTTTAGTAGTTCTTTAGCAAGACGATCTACATCTTTTTTTTTTATAACTACTTCATCCATTTTATTTAATGGTTATATAATTTATCTAAACGTATAAATAAAATGCGAATACAAATTAATCCTAGATCATTGTTAAATCTAGAACATATCTGTGAAGTTTTATACAAACTTCATCCATCTGTTTTAAATGACTTGGTTGAAATGGAAAGATCTTTGGGAAAATTACTTGGTACTATAGATTTAGATAATGTAACACTAGAAGAAAGAAAATTTTTAGCTAGTATTGCTGAGGAAGTAGATTACTCAAAGGAACCTGAGGAACCAAAGGACCTAATTAAAATAATAGAGGAGTTGAAAAAAGACCAAGAGAGTACTCGTTTTCATAAGCTAAGAAAATATATTCAACTAGATACTGATGAATACATTCCTATGAAAATTTATGTTGAAGTTGAAGATCCTGTAATAGGAAGAAAACTAAAAGAATTGGTTGAGGCACTTGAAAAAACTCGTGCTCCAGAACAATTCTATTTAAATAAAAAAGAAGTAGATGAAGATGCATATTTTGCTGAAGGGTATAACCTTACAATGAATGAGGAACAGAAAAAACAATGGGAAGAATTTATTGATGGAGAAGATGTTAAATCACTTGAAAAACTTTTAAGAGAGAAAAAGTTATATCCTTAATTTTTATATTTCAAAAAATATAAAAATTGTAATTTTATATTAAACCTTTATGAAAAATCCAATAAATTATCCCAGTGAGATAACCAAGTACTTCACATTTTTTGAAAGGTGAGTTGATAGCATATACACACCCTCTTCCAATCCTATAGTGTTTCCAGAAAGCTTTAAAAGCTAAACTAAATATTAAATGATTGGTAATGATATTTGAATCAGAATTTAGGTAGTGCCTTACTTCTATAAGTTTGTAAATAATTTGGTCTATATCTAGTTTTTGTGTAAAATACTTTGAATAGAGAAACTGGTAAACAAGACAAGCTTTTAAGTAATTATCTGGATAAAGAGGAGTTTTATAAGTTGGAAAGTATAAATTTACATATTCTACTATTGTACTGATCATTTTATATTATGTTTAGAGTAAAAAAAAATTTAATTATTTAAAGAATATTATTACAATATAAATGACAAACATGTTGGAAAAAAGTTTTAAAAATGAAGATTTAGGAATTGAGTTAAAATCATTTATTGACAAACAGCAAAATGTCTGGTTTATTGGAAAAGATGTTGCTAAGATACTTGGATTTAAGGATAGTGTAAATGCTTTAAAGAGACATGTATCATTAGAAAACAAAATGATACGTCTTATACAACCAAAAACTAGGGGTGGCGAAACGCCACCCCAACAAAATAACACTAAATTAAAATGTTGCCCCCCTGAAACTAGGGGTGGCGAAACGCCACCCCATCAAAATAACATAAGAGGGAAATATTTTACAATGATTAATGAACCTGGATTTTACGAACTTTTATTTGGTTCTAAATTAGAGTTTGCTAAAAAGTTCCGTCAATGGGTATTTAATACAGTTCTTCCATCCATCCGTAAATATGGATATTTTAAAATGTTTGACAACCCAAATAACAATATGTTCAAAATAGAAAATGAAACAGATCTTCATTATAAAGTAGTCCAACTAATTAGAAATTATTATCCAGATTCTATATTAGTAGCTGGATTGGGAGAGAATCAAGATACAGAGGACAAGAGACTAGATTCCTATAAAAAAGGATATCAACGAGGTCAACCAGATATAATGATTTTAGATTATCACAAGGACTACAAAGGTCTGTGTATTGAATTCAAATCACCTACAAACAACTATTGCATATCAGAATCACAGCTAAAGACTAAAGAGAAATATAAAGCTAATGATTATGCTTTTATCATAAGTAATGATTATGATTATATCAGTAAGAAGTTACATAAATATATGAGTGGAGTTAGAATTCAATGTCAATTTTGTACAAAAGTATTTCTTAGTAAAAAAACTCTAATTACTCATTTAAAAGTATTTCATAGAATTGAAAAATAATTTAAAGAATTACTATATCTAGATAAATGGAAGATATACTTAGAAAAAGAGAACAAAAGTTAATCAAAGAAGGATTAAATTTTATAGACTCTTTTGAAGAATATACTAGCAAAAATAATCCTGATATTCACAAAAAATATTTAGATATTAAGGAAGAAAAACTTATCAGTTTTTCAGACAAATGGAGTAAACATATGCGAATTTTAGAAGATACTAAAGATTATTTAGTAAAAATAACAGATATTAGCACTTTAGAGTTTGATGATATGGTTAAAGAAATGGAAAACTACATAAACACTTTTAAACCAAAAGATAGATAGAGAAAATCTCGATAAAATAAATGATATTGTTAATATTATAAATAAAATTAGCAAACTACCAGATCAAACAAGATTAAATTATGTTTTGAAATGCATTACTTTTTTAAGAATAAAAGATTATTTTTTAAATAGAATAATATAATAATTTCAATATTTATTTTAATATTGAAATCATTTTTATATTTAAGGGAGGGGTGTTAGGGGCTGTTCCCCTTATCTAAATATTAAATTTTTTTTTTATATTTCTCAACAAAGTTATCAGCACTTGATGGACAATGATCAATTATCATTTCATCCAGAATCTTAATACGATCTATAAATTCTTGTTTGTTCCACTCATCTCCTCTAAGTGCCGATCGTAATTCAACAAGAACTTTTTCATAAGTAGTATAAGCCAGCTTTGATGTTTCTATCTTTTTCTTAATATCCTTCTTTTTTGTAATTCCAGCCACAATTACTCCTGCACCATTTATTACTCCAAGAATAACAGGATTGAGTGTAAGCCCTCCTGTGATAGTGCCAACAGCAATAAGAGATAAACTACTAATAGAAAAAAAATTATCTAAAAATTTGTAACTTTTATAACATTTCTTATAACACCATTGTTTCTTATGGTAATGTTTATAAAGGTCTGTTATAGTTTGTCTTTGATCTTCTGATAAAGATTTATCGATATGATTAAATTCAAAAATACTCTTTCTTTTACTACTATTTCTTTTCATTTATTATTTAGTATATACTAGTTCCATTTAACTTTTCTTGAAGAATTATTTTGTGAAATTCTACAGAGCCAGTGTCGTAAAAGTTTGGTGAATACATAAACTTTTCTATTACTCCATCTTGATTTAAAAACTCAAATTTTTGATTAGCTGAATAACTAACAACTGGACAAACTAATTCTGCGGAGTAGTTACTTATGTTAACTTTTGTAGTACTTTTTCTAATACTTTCTGTTATCCATAAAACTACTTTTTTTCCATTAAGACTACTTGGAATTGATATAGTTTTTCTTGTATTACTGATTTGTATATTTAGTGTATCATTTACATTAAGATAATATAAATAAAATAAAGTTTGATTATTACTTATATCTTTTTTAGTTATGCTAAAATTCCTATTTCTCCAATGAGTAAAAACTAAACATAATGTGTAACTTGTTTGGCCAGTAGCAGGTGAATAAGAAATAGTATAACCATTAACATTCAATCCATCTTTTTTTATTATGTCAACTGTTTTATTTGGAAAAGTAAGATTTCTTGCAGAATTACCTGTAACCGAGGATAAAGCATTAAAAACAACTCCAGATGCTTGTTTATTTAATGCATAACTATTTGCATCAGTAAAGTCAAAGAATTCACTAAAATATTTTCTGTAAATAATATTTGTTGTATAATTAACTAACTCATTCACCATAGCAACTGTGGCAGCGCTATTGTTACTGTTTCTATCGAGAGCAATATTTAGTATTTTTTTATTATTTGTGTTAATGTCAACATTATACTTAACTTCTGTTGGTTTAATATCAAATGCGGTGTGATAGTCGTAAACTTTATCTGGATCGATATTACTAAATGTACCCATAATACCATAAGCAATCATATAAACCCCTAAAAACTGTCTCGGATATGTATTCAAGTCATATCCACCACGAAGAATATCAACCAAAATGTGAAGAAAGAACTTATTCCCAGTTAACAACTTTCGGAAATTAACTATTATTCTGTGGTAGTACATAGTTTGTGTTTTCCCTGTTGAATCAGTATACCTATGGGATAGTTTTTTTACACCTACATTTCCAATTGACAATCCTGTTGAAGTTCCTTTTTCAACACTTATTTGAGTATTATTCCAAAGATTATAATCAGTGTTGAGTATTTCCAAACATAGTGTGTAATCAGTATTTGCAGCTAGTCTAAAAAAATTAATTCCCATCTTATAAATATATTTACCTTGAGAATTTTTGATTATAGACATGTAAATAACTTTGTGGTTATAGTCATGAAAATTACCTTTAGAAGGAGTTAAGTTTCCTATACTTCTTATACCAAAACTAACTCCTCCATCTATTTCATCAGTCCATTGAGACCCACTTGACATGAGATAAGCAAACTCATTTTTGTAATGACTTGGTTGAACTGCAGTATTATGAACTAGATTGTCGACATAACTTTTGGTTGCTGCTTCATTGTCTTGGGTTGGTACTCCCAGATTCTCTATTTTATTACCACCAAGGTTGACATCGGCTTTTACAACCCCACTTATTACAATTTTAGGTGTGTTGATTTCTATTCTCTTAAGTGGTTTGGTTATCGCTTTGGGTAGATCAGTGAATAGCCGACAAGTGATAGCTGTGTGATTTGAATTGTTATGGGTTCTTAGTTTTACTCCTGACATATTGTAGTTCCAAGACTTGTGAATATTTAATGACCAAGTGCCAGTGCGATTTCCACTTACCCAAAAGTTAGAATTGGAATGAGTGTTATCTCTAGGAATAAACCACAGAAAGTCAACGTTTATATTTCGCGAACCAAATTGAAATTCTATTTTGTTAATGTATGTGTTAGCAGTTGGTGTCCACCCTACAAGAGGTTGACCAGGTGATGATGATGTAAAAACAAAATCATCAAATGATGAACCTGAGATATATTGTAGATACAAAGTCGTTGGCGCAGCTGGATTTGTTATAGTAAATACACCACTTGTTCCTTCTCCAGAATGATGATCAAACCTTTCTATTTGTTTACGAACCCATCCGCGATTAGCAGCTTGTTGATCTGTGGTGGGGTCACTGAGGTTAACTATTTTATTATTACCAAGATTAAGGTTACCAGTCATTGTGACGGTACCATCTTTTTCCAAGTAATCACTTAAATCTGGACTTCCACTATTATCATCCACATATTTCTTTGTTGCAGCATCTGTATTTGATGTTGGAGTTGCGAGACCAACTATTTTATTACCACCAAGATTTAGGTTACCTGTCATTGCAACACTACCATCTTTTTTCAAATAATTACTCATAGCCACGTTATTTAATAAAAGCGTATCATCTACATATTTTTTGTTTGTAGCATCACTTAAGCTTGTTGGTGGAGCTAAGTGATTTATTTTTTTGTTATTCATGTTTAAATTATTAGCCATACTATTTGTTCCAGTAACATGAAGATACTTCAAATCTGTGAAAGCTAATGGTGTTGGTTGTTTGGGTCCATTTGGAGCTGGTATATTATATATTCGATTGTTGTCCATATTAAGATTTCCTTTCATTGGGTAAGATCCATCTCTGTCAAGAAATGTGTTGTCTACGTAATATTTTGTTGTTGGATCTTTAGAATCCAGTGGTGTGCTAAGATTTTTAATTCGGTATGTATCTTTCATATCAATGTCTGAATCAACTGTTAGTTGCGATGTTGAGGGTGAACCACTAGAATTATCATCAACATACTTTTTTGTAGCAGCATCAGTATTAACAGTAGGTGCACCAACATTTCTTAGTTTTTTATTTATCATATCATAATCTCCACTTGAAGTGAGATTAAATCCAACTCCTGGAGCACCTTGTATTCCCTTAGCAAAGGGATGATTAGCAGAATGTTCGTTAAATATTCCCATTTATAATAATAATTATATTGTTATTAGCAGGGTGCAACCCCCCCGATAAAGTTTTTTGCAATACGTTTTTTTGGTTTATCAACGTATAAAAATGAATACGGTTTTTTAGTTGCTGAGTTGTAATCTTCTTTACTAACTCCCAACTCAGATGATATTCTGTTGGCTTCCCTCGATGATGGAAATTCATATAAACAGTAATGAGAACAATTCAGGCGAATATCCTTTGGTGTTTTATAAAACGATTGACTGAGGTAGATTACAGAGCTATTCTTATGTCGTCCTTGAATAAAATAATCAATCAATTGTCTCTGGTTGCGATCACAAACATAGTCATCGAATATCACAAGTTTTTGATTGTCTTCGTAATCCATTTCTGTCACTGGGGTTATTTCATCATTACTTACATGAAGTATTTCATATCCTAGTTTACTACTCAACTCCCTCATTTTTTGAATTAGCTTTTGATATTTATCCTGTTCTAGATTACGCGCGTAAAGATAAATTTCATCATAATACAGTAGTGGTTTAATTAACATATGGTACAGCAGATTAGTCTTACCACTTCCACTGTTTCCACAGATTAACATCCGAAATGTATTTGATGGCATGTAATTAAATAATTGTTTATATTTTTTATCTGGGTTGTCTCCACTATCATAGTTTGGTATTTCCATTTTATCTAATATACATATTAAATAAAAATGGATATCCAAGAATACAAAAAACTTGCAAGAAATAAAATTGAAGCTGATACTTTGACTCGTCAGGTGAGAGATGTAATAAAAATAACAAAATGGGAAAAACAAGATGCTCGGGAAGGATTTAAAGAGACATTTAAACCACTTATTCAATCACAGGATAGTATTAAAAAAAGTATTGATGAACAGCAAAACGCAACTATAGCACAACTTAAAGCTAATCAACTTGCTCTTACACAAGGTTTTGAACAGTTTAACAGATTAGCTGATATGAGAGAATTACCATATGTTGGAGAAGATTTGGGTGATTATGACAATGAAAAAGGTTGGGATGAAAATTGGGTGCCAGGTAGTAGTTCTAAAAAAGATAGATATTTAAATTTAGAAAAAAACTTTGAAGGAAGAGATCTAGATATATTAAAAGAATTTAGGTACCCAAGACCAAATGATTTTTTTGAAATTAATCCTAAAGATTTAAATCTAACTTTAGAAGAATTAAAAGGTGATATAAAACGGTTAAATGGTGAAATTAGTGGTAGAAAGAAAGCTAAAAACCCATCTCCAGTGTATGAAGCTGAAACTGAAATTAAAAAAATGCAAAAAGGAACACTAATGAAATATAAAAATACTATGAAAGATTATTTTAAATCGCTTAAATATAAGGTAGGAAAAGGTATTTACTTTAACAACCCACATCAACTTTTAGACAGACTTGAATTACTCGGTGGTTCAATTCTTGCTGGGAATAATGGTGTTATAAATGAGTTTTCTCATATAGCACATCTTCTCAATAAGATGAAAGTGATCTCAAAGAAACAACTTAATAATTTACTAAAAAATCATATACTTACTAAATAAAATGGAAGAACGAGCTATTCACATTTCCTCATTAAATAGGGAAAAAAGAGGAACAAACAAACCTGGTGATTTTACTATTAAGTTTAATCCATCTTTGAAACTCAACCCTGATAAGAAACACGAACTTGCTCTTGATCGCCTGTCTATGACTTACTCTTGGTATAACATTAGTAGTGATTATGGTAATAACAAAATTAAATACACCCACGATGGATCCACCTGGCAAACAATTACTTTTGTAAATGGAGCGTATTCCTACTCAGATATCAACGATTACATTCATCAATATATGTCTCAAAAGTCTCATCACTCAACAGATTCAAATGGAAATAAAACTTATTCAATCAATCTAACTTTTATACTATCTACATATCGAGTGTTAGTATCACTTGATGGTGATTATCAACTTGATCTGAGAGGAACAGATTTTGGAGACCTGATTGGATTTGAAAAGAAACTTATTACAAAAACAGAGTATGGATCAAAACTACCAAATATCACAAATTCGATTGATGTGTTAAATATCAACACAACCGCAATAACTAATAGTATTGTAAATGGAATAAATACTAATACTATTGCTGTGGTACCAACAGACAATCTCACAAGGTCTTATCCATTTACGTTTGAGCCTAAAAGACCCTTGCATTGTCCTTTATCATCTAATCATATAGATGAAATGAGAATATATGTAACAGACTCACTTGGAAGACCAGTAAATTTTAATGGTATAGATTGGTTTATGACTTTGATACTTCACTCGATGTAATAGGGGAACAGCCCCTATGACCCCCTCCCTCAGATAAATATATATTCATTAGATAAAAATGATGCGACAATCAGAGTTTAAAATGAAACTTGACCCTGAATTGGGTAGATATACAAGACAACATATTTACGGAGAAGGAATGATGGATGTGATTAAATCCTTTGGTTCAAAATTATTTGGAAAGACAATGAAAAAAGCTGCTAAAAAGGGTGCACAAAAAGCGGTAACAGCAGCTGCAACAAAAACTGGTGAACATGTAGGAAAAAAGGCTGGTGATAAGATAGTGAAATTGTTATCCAACGGGGAGGTGCAACCCCCCCGAAAACCCCCTGCTAAAAAAGTTACTTTTAATAAAAATGTTGAAACAATTCCAAACACTCAACAAGAGATAGATCAAAGATTGAATGCAATTCTTAGTGGAGGTTCAACACGTAAGAGAAAATTATATAATTATTAAAATAAAATGAAGTCTTTTAGAAATCCAAAATATTTAGAAAGATATGAAGATGTTGTTTTTGAGCTTGAACAGGCTTTAGCAACACCAGCAAATAATGCTAATCAAACTAAAACAGGTCATAGATTTGTTGCTGATAACACAGGAGAAGCTACTCCTTTTGATTGGTATAACGCGCGATTTTCAGTAGATTTCAAAGTACAACTTTTAGATGGAAATGATTTTAATAATAATAATCCACAAGCTGGAATAGTAAATGGATCAAATAGTTTAATTAAAAATTTATCAATCCTAGCAAATGGTAGAGATGTTTACAGTTGCAACTATGCTAATCATGTAGTAAATATTAAAAATTTGCTTGAGTATAATCCATCTTATGTTAAGAGTGTTGCCACAAATGAATTTTATTATCTTGATACATCAAGAATTGCTCATGCTACTGAATTTACAATTAATAACACAAATGTTACTGGAGGAGCTAATGTTGTAAAAGGTAGAGAAGCTAATTATAACAAAGGTTTTGCAATAAGAAGAGCGTTAATAGGCAACTCAACAACAATTAGTTGTGATATTCCCTTCAACAGATATTCTTTCTTTGAATCTCTAGAGGACAAGCTTCTTCCAAATACAAAAATTGAGTTGAATATAGAACTAGAATCAGATGCTAATCTTATTTGGAGAACTGGAGGTAATGCTTGTAGAGTTGTACTAACAAGATTTCAACTATTTGTTCCAAGATTAACATTTAACTCAGAAGGACAAAAACTATACATGGAAAATTATCTCAAACCATACAAATGGGTGTATCTTAATGAAGTAGTAGAACGATCAAATAACTCTCAACAGCAAACAGGTCATTTTAGAATTACAAATGCAATCTCAAAACCACGTCATGTATTTGTTTTTGGAATTAACACAGCCAATATTGATTCACAAACAGCAAATCCATTTTTATACAATACTTTTAACCTCCCAAACAATGCTAATATATCTCGTTGTTATCTCGAGGTTGGAAATGGAAATGAGTACCCTGATATTCACTTTAAACCATCTACAGATCCAGCAAGAGTTTTCAGAGAAGTAATGTCATATGTTTACGCAAATAACGACTTTCAAGGTGGAACACTACTTAATAGATCAAATTTTGGTTCTTTGTTCCCATTTGTTTACTTTGACTTAACAAAACAAAAAATGGATATCAAAGATGGAGTTACAAAATTAGCATTTCACTACGAACTATCTGCTAATCCAAATGCTGATTATAATTTATACGCTTTAGTACTCCACGAACGAGTGGCAGAAATTGAACAGCAAGGCGGAAAACTATTGCTTAGGGCTTAATCTAAAAATAAAATAAAAATGGTAAATCCTTTTGATATATATCCACCAGTAACTTTAGAAAAATATCCTTTTTTAAAAGAAAATAAATACTTCGAATATGTTATAAATTTAACTCCATCACAAATAAAAGAATTTGGAGAAAACAATATTATAACTTTAGACTTTACATCTAATAAAAAACCTTTTAAAGTTTTTCTTACAAATACCCAAATCAAAAAAGTAGAAGTTGCAAAAAAACTTAATAAAAAAGTTGATTTAAAATTCAGTAAAACTCAGTTTTAAAAAACTTTGCCTTATGTTACTAGTTTAAATCATTCTTTGATAAAGCAACGATATAAAGACCAACTTGAGATTTTAAAAACAGAAAATGCTAAGAAAGCAAAAAAATTAAAGTATTTGAAAAACAAACAAGATACAATTATTAAAAATACTTTAAAAAAATATAATGAACATATTTAATATAATCTAAATATTAAAATAAAATGACAACTTATTTTGAATACGGAGTAACACTTACAGATGGGCAAAAGTCAAAACTGGCTTCTGCAATATTAAATAAATCACCACTAACTCTTCGGTTAAAACATTCTCATCTTCGAGGTTCTGATGAGTTAATGCTTACCCGCAGACAAATTTCTAAAATAAAAAAATCTATTGCAAATGGTACTGGATCAGATATAAAGATAAGTAAAACACAGATTAGGCGTTCTGTGAAACATGGTGGAAACTTATTTTCATCACTCGCTTCTCTTGGAGCGCGAGTACTACCTTACGCTATAAAAGGAGTTTCAAAAGCTGTTCCTGCATTAGCAACTGGTGCTGCAACTGCACTTGGAGAAATTGGATTAAATAAAATATTTGGAAAAGGAATCACAATACCCCCAAAGTTTTTCCCAATGCTACCACCTCTTGTAAGAGAATTTACCAAATCACAAATAAATCAAATTAACAAAGCTTATCAAACAGGTGGGCGATTAGTTATTAAACCAACTCGTAAACAAATAGAAGGATGATTTATTGGAACTCTTGCTTCTATTGGGATACCAATGGCAATTAGTTTAGTATCTAAGATGTTTGGTGGTGGACTTCAGGTTGATAGAAGTGGATCATCTAATACAGCAAATGTTTACGTTCCACCTCCTCCTCCATCCACACATGGTGAAGGTTATCCTTATCACGCACCACCACCCTTTATCGGTACATGGGAAAACCCAATTGGAATGGGAGTAAAAAAAAAAAGTCCAAATCCAAAGGAAAAGGACTACTACTAGGAAAAAACAGCCCATTCAACTCAATTCCCATTCTAGGGTCCATTTTGTAATTAAACCTCTATCCAACTTTGACCTCATGAAATGGATAAAAAGACTTGGTATTAAACATTTTAGAGGAATTTACAGTAGGAATGGACTACCCCATAAGATAAAAAAAGAATGTGGAATAATTAATCTAGATGATATAAAAGGTCCTGGAACACACTGGGTTTGTTATAGAAATCTGGATTCAGTGGTTGAGTACTTTGATCCTTTTGGACTAATAATGCCAAATGAAGCACTTGAGTATTTTCATACTTCTGGAAAACGTATATTTTACTCAATGGATGAAATACAAAATCGCAATACTGTTCTCTGTGGTTATTGGTGTTTATATTATCTGTTTGAAAGACAGCGGGGTAATAGTATACTAAATGTAATACATAACCCTCATTTTGATGATGACAATAGTGATTTTATAAAAGCATACTTTGAAGGATAAAAATAATATTTAATAAATATTATTTTTTTACTATATAAACAGATAATTTCCTTTTATAATATTATTAAGTGTATTTGATTTCTCACTTATTTCCATTAACAACACAAATATTTTTATAAATCTAGAATCATTTTCCATTCTATAATGTACAACATTTTCATAACTCATGTTTAGATTATTGTATATTTTTTGAAGTTCACTTTTAACAAAATTAGATCTAGTAGACATATTTATCTAATCATTATATTAAATGAAAGAATCATATTGTATTGTAGATAAAAGAGTAACTCCTTGCACAGAGCCAAGTGGTTACCAAAAAGATAAAAGAGGTAGAACACAATTCTTTTGTAGATGCGCAGTTTGTGGAAACAAAAAAGTTAGATACGTAAAAACTGGAACAACTTCTCAAACTGGAAGTGGAAAAAAGAGAAAACGAAAATCAAAAAACTAATCAGCCCGTCTGAAGGGGCGGGCGTATTTGATACTGTAGTTGGTACTGCAGTTGATGGATTTGTTCATTATGGTTTACCTTGGATGGGGCGTAAAGCAGTTGAAATGGGGCGATATGGAGCAAGCGAGTTAATGAGAAATAAAAATCTTCAGAAGAAAGCTGTAAATTATGGGATTAATAAACTCACTCCATTTATTCAAGATTCTGTTGGAACAGCTATGGACCAGTTATCAACAAAAGTGAGACCAAAAAATAAATATAAAACTGATAGACCAGAGTTGGATGGAAGAGGAATAGATATTCACAATGCTATTCTCAAAGTAGCACCCAGTAAAGGTTTTGTTTTACCAGGTCATAATTATACTGGTCCTGGTAATCCTCTTCATAATCAACTACGTCACGATGATGAGGGAAATATATTAGAAATCTACCAACAACCAACAGGACCAACTGATGCGGTTAGTATGCAACATGATGTGGATTACACAGTTTGTGGAAATAAACCAAAAAGTGAACAAGTAAAATGTAAAAATGAAGCTGATAAAAAAATGGTAAAATCACTAGGTGCAATTCCTTGGAAAAATAGACAATGGGGGCATGCTATGGCTAGAACTATGATAAATACAAAACAAAAACTTGGAATGGGTTTAAACGCGAGTCGGCGTTGAGTAGTGATTGGTCTCAACAATTAGCCGACGAACTTCACAAACCAATCACAAGAAACTTTCAGAAGAGATCAGTAATCTCAAACGGTATTGATGATATCTGGGCTGCTGATTTAGTTGAAATGCAAAAGTTTAGTAAGTGGAATAAAGGAATAAAGTATCTTCTAATGGTTATAGATGTGTTTAGCAAGTATGGATGGATTAAGGGATTGAAAGATAAAAAAACTGAAACTGTTAGTAAAGCATTTGATGATATATTTAAAAGTAAACGTAAACCGCAGATGTTATGGACAGATAAAGGTTCTGAGTTTATTAGTAAACATTTCAAAGAGTTTTTACAGAGAGAGGGAATTAAGATGTATCACACTGAAAATGAAGAGAAATCTAGTGTTGTTGAGCGATGGAATAAGACAATGAAAAACAGAATGTGGAAGATGTTTACTGTAAATAACAACACTGTTTACTGGGATAAAATAGATAAACTAGTTCATGATTACAATAATTCGAGACACTCTAGAATTAAAATGACTCCTGTTGAAGCAAGTAAAAAGAAAAATGAAAATAAAGTTAGGAATAATTTATACGGTGATTTAATTTACTTGAAACCTGGTAAACCAAAGTTTTCTATTGGAGATAAAGTTAGAATTTCAAAATATAAGAGGCAAGTATTTGATAAAGGTTACACACCAAACTGGACAGAGGAGATATTTGTAATTGATAAAGTTCTTCCAACAAAACCTGTTACGTATAGTATTGTTGATTTGATGGAAGAAAAGATAAAGGGTTCTTTCTACGAGCAAGAATTACAGAAAGCAAAACAACAGACATTTAGAATAGAAAAAATAATCAGACGAGATAATAAGAAAAAAATGGCATTAGTAAAATGGAGTGGTTATCCTGATAAATTTAACTCGTGGGTGAGTTCTAAGGATTTGGTTGATTTTTAATACAAATATTGTATTAAAAATAGTTATTTACTCATCTTCTTCTTTATCAGATAAAAGTAAGTCTTCAACTACTTGATTAGTCATCTCTTCACCCTCACTCTCTTCCTCCTCAATTGTTAGTAAAGATTCCCTAGGTTTTAATGGTTTGATATAGCACTCATGTACTTTTATTTGTAAAGATGTAACAGTCTTACTAATAAATATTCCTTCGATTATTAGTGCCATTTTAACATTGCAATATTGATTGATATATTTGAAAGGATTTAAATCCTTCTTTCCTTTTGTTTTAAATAGTGAAAGAATTTTCTTTGATTTCTCAGAGTAAATAAGTTTTGCGTAAAGAATTGGCGCTGATGAGGGATCTATTCTTGTTTTCTTTTTTCCTTTCTTATCTGTATATTCTTCCTGTTTAAAATAAAATGGTGAAGATAGAGTTGATGCTAAATCTGGACCGTATTCGTTCTCTAAATATTGCTGAGAGGCAGTTTTTATATTATTAATAACATCAAAAAATGCACGCTCTTTAGTACTCGGCTCACACTCTTTAGCCCAAAGACACACTGGAATACTATAACCTACTAACTTATTTGTTTCTTGGTTTTTCTTTTCATTTACACCAAAAGAAAAAAGAACTGGTGTTTCGATTACAAGTGGACCTTTCGCACCATTTGAATATTTAACTTCAATTGGAATACGTTTGTATTTGATTTTGCTATCTTTTACTTTGTACTCTTTAGGTTCTTTAAAGATAATATTCTCTGGAGTAAGATTTTCGTAAGCTGTTAACTGCATTTTATTAGTATTTATTTAATCTTTAAATCATAAATCAATTTTATTTTTTAGGCCATAGAAGATGTACTGACCAGAAGTTACTCGATTCTGGATTATTATAAGTTAACTCCCCCTGTTTATTTTTAATCTTTGTTGCTCTAGAAAGATATTTATCTCGTCGATCTTTGTCTTTATGAATAATGTAGTCTGGGTATTTTGGTGAACCAAAGTGAACTTTCTTTCCACCTGGAAGTGTTGCCATGTATTTGTTATTTTTTCTAGTTGAATAATCAAGTGATTCTGCACCAAGTTTTTTAGCATTTCTGGTTAATCTCTTAAACTCAGATCCAGTAACAACATATTTTTCTTTTGGAATATAATCTGGATCCTCATCATGTTTATAACCATCATCAACTATAAAATCCAAATCCTCTTTTGTAGGAGTAGTTTCTCTTGATCTTGATTCCATTTTTATTAGTTGGTTATATTAATTCATCCTCTTTAAACTTTTGTTCCCTTCTGTATAATTCTTCATGACCAATTTCTTTTACCTGCTCTGGAGTATACATATGAGTAAACATAAGATATTTACAAAAAGGATCAAGTGGCTCATCATTTCCAAGAGCTTCAATAACACCAGCAATACTTAACTTTGCAGTATTAACAATACCATCTATATAACTACAAAGATAATGAATACCATATTTATCTTCTTCAAAAGGAATTTGCTTTGGATTTAAAATATAACCCATACTATTAAGAGTACAATAATACCTATACAACTTTTTTGCATAAATAATCTTATCATCATAACCACTTTCCTTTAATTTTTTTATTGATTCAAAAATTGTTTTTTTTCTTCTTTTCTCTTTACAACCAACCTCAACTTTACATCCCATATCTTCAAATTCTTTTAATAAATTATCCATTTATATAAAGATTGGAATAAACTATATTTATAGGATTACAATGAATTAATCACAGTATTCTATGATATTAATCTTATCAAAAAAACAACAACCAACTTTGTAATCAGTCTCAAATCTTGTGCCTTCGTAACATAATAATTTCGTTGCATTTTTAAACAAACCATCCATTTCTTCCATTGCATCATAATAACTTTCTTTTACATTGATTTTTTTAACATTATTAAAAACTTCTTTTAAATCAATGCTACCATCTTCCACTGATTTAACTGTTTGTGTGATATTTCTATCAATATCTTTGAATGATTGGTAATCATCTTCACTATCAAATATCAATCCTCCTACTTTGAATGGATTACAAATATTTTTTTGACTTGTTTCTTTGCTTTTCGATTTAAAACCCATTTCTATTTTATTATATTAATTTCTTTAAATCAATTTTATATTTTCTGCTTCTAAAATTAGTATCTATTTTATTTTTATCTAATTATAGAGTAGTGTAGTGTAGTGTAGTATAGGAAATGCTGACAACCCACTCACCTCAATTTTTTTCTACCTATTCGAACAATGGAGCGATACTTGTGAACGAATGGAGCAATACGAATGAGTTGAGTGAACTGAGTGAAATGAGTGAGCGAAGCGAACGAATTGAACGAAGTGAACGAAAACGAATGAGTTTTGCGAAATGAGTGAACAAGAGAGCGACATTGTGAGATGAGGTAGAAAAAAATTGAGGTGAGTGGGATGGCAGCATTTCCTATACTACTCTTTTTAAGGCCCTAAATTTGACAGAGGCTAAATGAAAGAGTATTACTTGCTGTATCGTCTAGACCAGGTTTAATTATTTCATTGCAGTCAAAAGTCTAGTTTAAGTATAAGTTCTTGCAGTACTGCTGTAAATGAGGACAATCGAGCTCTAAATTTAATGGCAGTAGGACAGACACAGAGTCAGAGCGACTTTGTGATGCTATTATAAAGAACTACAATTCAGTTGGTAAAAGCATTTTAAAGTTATTCATCTATCGTTGAATGTTAAATAACTCTTGAAAAGTGTAAAACGTAAATTCCCCATCTCTGGTTGTTCAATGCAACGAGCTCCACTATGGTGGCCCAACGTTATCATAGTAGAATATGTACGATTTTGGGAAGAAATAATAAAAAATAGAAAGAAACAAAAAAACATAAGCGATAAAAACAGAACAAAAAGATGTAAAATTATATTAAGTAAAAAATTATTTGAAAACAGATATCTAAAACGAAAAAAAAAATGGGGTTATATCAACCAAGGCAAAATTGTAATTAAGTAATAAAAAAACATAGGAAAAATTTATTCGGAAAAACCGTGACATGGAAAATCAACAGTGAAAATCAATGCTAAAAATCAACATTGAAAATCAACATTAAAAACAACATTGGAAACCGACATAGTAAATCAACATTGGAAACAGCATTGAAAATCAACATCGAAAATCAACATTAAAAAAAAAA